GGGGGTTAGTGTTTGTGTTTGTGTGTTTGTGTGTTTGTGTTTGTTTGTATTTGTGGGAGTTTATGTGTGTAAGGGGGTGGGGGATAGAGTGTGTGTGCAGGCGTGCGTGTGTGTGTATGGTTGGGGACGGGTATTTTTATTAGTTTGTTTGCTGTCTATTTTTTTTCTTTTATGTTCATTGTTCTTTTGCGTGGGTTTTTTTGTTGTTGTTGATTATTTTGTGGGGTCGGGGTCGGGGTGGGGAGGAATGAGGGATTAACGAATGTTCCAATAAAAAAAACCCCAACATTTTTATGCTGTAAATGACACCGTTTTAATCTATATTTATGTGATAAAATTGACAACCTTTATACTAAACACCCTCCTCCTGTGTGTGTTGTGAACAGAGTACGAGATGGACTCCTCCAACAAGAGGCCACGCACCACCATCACGGCAAAGCAGCTGGAGGCGCTGAAGAGAGCGTACAACGAGAGCAACAAGCCGGCGAGGCACGTGAGGGAGCAGTTGAGCGCCGAGACAGGCCTGGACATGCGCGTGGTGCAGGTGAGCTCAGTGAACGCTGGCATAGATGAGTTAGTAGAGCAGGCACAGGGACGTAAACTGTTGCCCGCGGGTCAGATATAGGCTTTGTGCAGTTTCAGTCTGGCCCGTGAGTAGCATTCAGTTATTAATAATGAAAAATATGGCCCGCGGGCTATATGTGGCCTGTGTGCAGTTTCATTCTGGCCTGTGAGTCCACCGAGTAGTTAATACAATTGTATATGCCCAACACTAAGTTAGCTGATGATTGATTAATGAAAAACGAAACTAAAACTAAAATCAACACTTTCTGGCCCATTTGGAAGCAACTGATCTAAATTATCTCAGAAATGCCCTTAAATGTTGTAGCCCCAGTACAAGTTTCACCTTTGAGAGTTTGGTTATATCAACCGATTTGACCCAACGTTCACCCGCTTTAACTCGCGAGCTATTCGGAATCGTTCCATTAGGCCTATGGCTTGGACACGTTTGCCCACGTCTGGCATCCAGGCCCCAAGATTGTTCCAACTAATCATTTAATTTGTCACAAATTATGAGGGTCTTAAATGCGCTTCATATAACTATTACCTTGTGGAAACTTATGGTGTACTGCAGTAATGGACTTTGTCTCACATATTATTATTATTATTCCAAGTATAACATTGTTATGAGCGCCTCTTTTTTCTTTTCTTTTTTTAGCTGTTGATGGTACAAATCTAATGAATCCAAGTAATTAAATTTATTACTTTTCAGTTAAGTGTGATGACTTTTCCTACTTCGTTAACCACAGTCGAACCTGCTCTAACGGCCACCTGTCCAAGATAATTACCTGCATTTAACAGCCATTTCCCACTTCCTCCTTGACATTTTTCTCTATATTTCTGTATCATAATGACAATGTCCAAGACGGGGCTCTCGTGGCCTAGAGGTTAAGGTGTTTGCCTCTCATTCAAAGGTCCCAGGTTCGAATCCGGGTAGCGACGGAAACATTTTCTTCTCTAAAATTGCCTCCTTTCACCTCCTTTCCTGCTCTCTAGCCATGTTCTGTCGTCTGCTTTCGTTTCTACTTTTTGCCCCCACCCCCTCACCTCCTTGCCCCCTCCTCTGGGCTCCTGACTCTTTCTGCAGCCTTTCTACTGCTACTCCTTGGCTCCTTCTTACTGCTGTCTTTCAGCCACACCCCGGATCTTCATTTAGGAAAGATCTATAACTAGCCTTCTCGGACATGGACGAAAAATCTTGGAGGTCCCGAGTGCAAGTTGGGCACGTTTAAGATCCCTTGGTGGTCTAAAATCGATAAGAGTAGGCTGCGGTCGCCACCAGGGCAAAAATCAAAATTTCCTGCCAATTGAATAAATGTTTACTGTGTCCCGCACGCTCCCATGACCTTATGAAGTTGCGTGGGCCGTAAAACAATTAGCCTACCACAAAAAAAAAATGATATAACTGTCCTAGACGTCCTAATGGGCGAGACAACTACTTCTCTTCACGACAATAGGTGGTCTTCTTAGACAATTTTGACTGTGGTATAAATGTGACATTTTTCTATTGGTTAACTGTTTTCGATAATACATTTAATTAACCATCATATTCCGTCTGTGCCTTCAACCAGGTCTGGTTTCAAAACAGACGAGCGAAAGAAAAGCGGTTAAAGAAGGATGCTGGCAGACAGCGCTGGAACCCTTACTATCGCCAGATGAAGAGAGAAGGGGAGGCGGACAGTAGTCTCAGCGCAGATGAGAGGAGTGATGATGGTAAGAGAAAAAGTTTTACTGTAATCGCTACCTCAGAGTTAAAAATGTATATTATCTGCTCTTACAATTGAGAAAGTTGAGGTAAAAAACTTTGAGTTTGACAATATGCCAAGATTTTTCGAATGCACTTCTTTGAATATCTTGATAATGACTCAGAATGACTGTGATAGTAGAATTTAAAATCTGGATTAACTTTCAGTAAATAGCACGCCTGTTCAGCTGGCTCACAGAATCACATAGGTACAGTCATGACAAAAATTACCCCATCATAACAAATCCCTTTTATTTATTATAATACGACTTTATGTTTACTGCTTAAATCATTCATTTCTACTTAGTTTCAGGGTTCATTTTATGCAAATTCTAAAATATATAGAGTGGCGTCGGTGGCCTAGTTGTTCAGCAACAGGACTCGTAATCATGAGATTGCGGGTTCGGCGGTTCGATCCTCAGCTCGGACCAACACTCTGTTCTTGGGAAAGGCACTTTACATGACTGTCCTAAATGGTCGGTCCTTTCGGGGATCGACGTTAAACTCTGAAGTCCCGCCTTTTAAATACCCGGTAGCCTAATAGTGATGATAGGGACGTTAAACACAATATACCATTTCCTTTCCAATATATGGTGGAGTTATAAGGACGTTTGGGATGCTGGAAACTTGGATAAAAAGTTGTCTGTGTACAAAGGAGGAATAGCATCTCGTATACTAAGAGTTAATACTGGGTTGTTCTACTACAATCACCATCAGTGTATTGTAAATACTGTATTGTAATTACAAGTATTAATATAATAAATATTCTTCTTCTTCTCCTTGTTGTTGTTGTTGTTCTTCTTCTTCTTCTTCTTCTTCTTCTTGTTCTTCTTCTTCTTCTTCTTC